GATGAGAGCCGTTATATTGAGAGCCTATAAAGCAGCAGGACTAGAACCTCCTAGAGCTTCCAACCCACACAAAGTCAGAGCACTGGCGTCAACACTAGCTCTGCACGGAATTGCTCGTTGTAGCACAGCAACTAACAGTTCCTCAAAAGCACTGAGTTGGAAAATCTCACCCTTTATCACGCTGACTTGTTGATAACTTTTACTAAGGAAAAGTATTAGTTTGAAAGTCCATGCGCACAGTCTAGGACAGGCTAGCATGAGTGATTAAAGATCCTGTACGGGTAAAGATCTTACCTGTACATGAAGGGATCGCAACTCATTTATGATAAAGATTTTATCATAATCTATGGGTTGTTATAAGATATCTAGTAATAGGAGATTACTAGTTTATCTGTAGCCACATGAATCAACATGATTCAACTTGTCTGAGATTGAAGTAAGACAAGAAGTGGTCCCCCCGAGTTACAACGGAAGTTGGAAGAATAGGACCAAGGATATGCCGTTCGCAGTTCCCATGGGGGGGATACAGGACGTATCTAAGGACAGCTGTTGAATCCAGTGGCTTGACCCACCACCTATCCGACGGATTCTATAAGCAAAAGATCAGAGTCAGGATAAGGAAAAATATGTAATTTTTAAAGTAAAATTGATATTTTATACTTATCCTGACTCATGACGAACAAGCCCTCCCAACCTCCCTGTTGAAGACACTTGAGATTTCACAGCAGATCCAAGTGCATGGGCGGAAAATAAGGAGAAAGTGACAAGTATGGGCACGTCACATGATATGTTTGCGCGGGAAAGGGCAAGGGAGGTAACTCGTGGGTGAGTGTATTTATACGTCCGCATCGGGAACTTCAAGGGATTCAAGTGTTCCACTACCATTCGAAAGGGAAAGGGAGATAAGCAAAAGATCATGAGTCAGGATAAGTATAAAATATCAATTTTACTTAAAAAATTACATTTACCAAACAAAAACTCGTTTTGTTTAGTGAGACTACCCCTATAGGGCCCCTCACAGGGCCCCCTACAGCCAAGAGCAGGTAACTCTGGCTGCTTACCTCGTACCTCACTTTTTCATGCTGTCTTTGACTAGAACGGTTGTGCATGGTCCAGAGAAGACACGTCTTAGCCTGATACTACGATAGAGAAAATGAGTGAGAAAGAGTCAAATCCTGTATGTATGGTTCCTCCTTTTTTGCACGGGCGCTAGCTGGAATCTTCGTATGACTTTTTTCATTCATGATTTGTTGTAACTTTGCCGGCGTGTTCGCTGTCTCCAGCCATGTGGCAGGGAAGATGGCGGACCGCAGGGTCCTTTTGTTATCCCTTCTGCTGGCTTCGAAAGCCTTGTAGTCGGGTTGTAAGGGTTTGATATTTCATTATGTAGATTATGCTTGCCTAAATTCCTCTTTTTCAGCATGTTTTTTTGGTAAGTTTTGCTTGAGTGATTTTGTGGCGTGTTCTTTTCGTATCGCTCACAAATGTTACTCTTTGTTAGTTATGTGCACAATAACGCTTCAGCTATTGTGCTTTTACGCAAGTATTTAAGAGCTTTGCTGTAGCAAAAGAAAAAGAAGGGTTCTTCTTCGTCTGTATCAGGGGATACAGCGCCTAAACAGGAGAAGGGTGCGGGATCTTTGGTCCCTTCACCAGCCATTCCTTCCACATCACAGGCACCTTCACCTCCACATGTCCCTGTTTCAAATCCATTAACATTTGAACTAATCTCCGATCTTATACAGCAGCAAATGGCTTCGGTTCACTCGCTGATATCTGACGCGATGTCCGGTCTCCGTCAGGAGATTGGCGTCCGGCCAGTTACTAGGTGGTGTTCCGTTTCTGTGGCGGGCAGTGTCCCCAACCTTAGCTCAGACTCTGGTATGGGGATTTCTGTCGGGAGTGCGTCTGCACCGAGCCTCGTCTCGGCTGCCGGCCACCCCTCCGCTACGGTGGGTACCACCAGTCCGAGCCTCGGCTCTGGGTCTGGGTCGGTAGTTGGTGCCGATGTTACGGGTTCTGTCCCTGTAGTTTCCGCTACCCCCTCGCATTTGGTCCAACCGCTTGCGACGGCTTTGCCGGGCCATTCGGTGTCGGCGCCGTTATGCTTGCCGTTGGGGAATCCCTTGTCAGGCTCTTCCTCGTCTCTCCACCGTGACTCAGTTTCAAGAAATCAGAACTGGTTCGTACCCAGGATCTGGTTTTCTTGGGAGCGAAATTCAAGACAGCACAAGGTGTAGTCTCCCTGTCTCTGGACTGCGTCACCAAAGTCCAGAGAGTTGTGTTACAATTTCTCGAGTCCCCCAGGACCTCGGCTCGGACTTGGCTCCAGTTGCTAGGCAACATGGCGGAGAGCGGTTAAGAATGCGACCCATACAGCAAGCTTTGGCTCGAATGTGGGTTCACACTCGGGTTTACAAGTTGATTCTCCACGCTCCCGGGGTGGCTAATTCCTCATTTATGGTGGTGGACAATGGCAAGAAATTTATCCAGGGGGATCCCCATCCTCACAGGGTGGGGGGGCGTGCTGGGCGACCGGTCAGTCTCAGGCCTGTAGTCACAGAGCGAGGCGCAACTGCACATCAATGTGCTAGAATTGAGAGCAGTCAGGTTAGTGTTCGAACGACTTTGGGAGCAGGTTCGAGGCCGTGTGGTTCGTCTAGAGATTCACAACCAGACAGCGATGACCTATATCCTGAAGCAGGGCGGTACGGTTTCCCCGTCTCTCCTGCAGGAGGTGTGGCAGTTTCTGCTCTGGTGCGACCAGTTCGACATACGGGTGATGCCTGTTTATCTCCCCGGGGCAGACAACGTTCGAGCAGTCGCGCTCACTCGACGTATCCTGGCCCCGCACGAGTGGATGCTCAATCAGGAGATATTCGGGATTATCTCCCAGTTGTTCGGGTAGTTCCAGGTGCTTCGGGGGGTGGGGGGGGACAAACCAGATTCCGGTGTTTTACTCTCGGATACTGGATCCGAGAGCCATCGCCTCGGACACTTTCTAGCTCGATTGGACAGGCAGGGTTCTGTGGGCGTCGTTCCCGCCACTACCCCTGATTCCCAAAGTCCTCTCGCAGCTTGCCACCCAACCAGCTCGACTTCTTTTGCTCCTTGCACCTGTTTGGTCGGCTCAAAGCTGGTTTCCGGTACTACTCAGGTTTCTGGCTCAGCCTCTTGTACTATTACCCTTTCGACTGGACCTACTATCCCAGAACGAAGTGCTGCACCTGAATCCCAGGATTCAGTTGGTCGCCTGGCCACTGTCCGGAATCGCCTCCAAGCGAGCGGAATTCCTGCACCAGACACAATTCTGGCTTCGCGGAGGGATTCGACAAACGTTCAATATGAGGATAGATGGGCCTGTTATACGCGCTGGTGTGTCGGCAGAGGGGTTCTCGATCCATTTTCTTCAACTGTAGTTGAAGTACTTGAGTTCTTACAGTCTCGGTTAGAGGCCGGCTTAGCCGCGTCTACTATCCGGGGATACTCCACGGCAATCTCTGCCTTCCATGTACCTGCCGACGGTGCTCTCTTGGGGCAGCACCCTCTTGTGCAGCGTTTGTTAGCAGCCGTGGACAGAATCCGTCCGACTGTCCGGCGGATTAGTCCCCCGTTGTTCTTGATTGGATGTCAGGTCCTCTCTTTCACAATCTGTCGTTTCTTTCACTCCAGCTGTTAAGTTGGAAGGCTTCCTTTCTTGTGGCGGTAAAGTCTGGCCGGCGGGTAGGCGATATCCATGTGATGTCAGCGGATCCTGCTCTGACTGTCTTTCACAAAGACAGAGTTAGTATTCGGTTGCCAGACTCTTACCGTCCTAAGATCACATGCGCCTTTCACATAACGGCGCCTATTGAACTGCCAGCTTTCACTCAGCCTCCATCGTCCGGTACCTCTCTTCGAAGTGCTCACGTCTTAGATGTCCGTACGACTCTCATGGCTTATATCAAACGAACGGCTGCTATCAGGAAAGATAAGCAGCTGTTCTGCTGTTATGGCGGTGGTAAGGCTGGTCTTCCGGCTAACAAGCAGACCATATCTAGGTGGCTTGTCTCTGCCATTTGTATGAGTTACTCTCACAAAGGGCTAACTATCCCTGATGTCAGACAGAATGAGGGGAGGTGGGTGGCCGTACCCCAAGGAGGACTTTTCTTCAAAGAATTCATAACCTCTACAGGTTTGTACAAGTTTTTGTGAACCTCAGCGCTCACATCACTTTGTACAATGGCATCCTGATTAGTAGCTGTAAGCTGATGCTGTTTGCATTAAACTTTCCTGGGGAAGGGGAGCTAGGATGGCCCAGTGGTTTAACCTGGAGGTCTGGGTTTGATTCCCCACATGGGTAGAATGTAACATGGGTACCACTGTGATATTACTAGAATATTGCCCAAAACAGTGTAGCAGCACATGCTCATCTCATTAAAGGAACTATTTCCTTGCTTGAAGTAACTTGGGGACTAAAGTATAGCTCTGCTTCACCATAATATTGTGTCACACCGATAAGCATCTCCTTACCAACCAGGCTTGTTAACCAGTTCTCTGCCATTATATTGTGAAACTGGTGACATAACATTGAATACTTGTTCCCAATATTTACTCTCTATACTGGCACTCGGTAATACTGGCACTCCAAACATGGGCTCAATACTTGCTCACATTGCTCTCAATAATACTTACTCTATACTGGCACTTTCGGTAATACTGGCACTCCAAACATGGGCTCAATACTTGTTCTCAATATTTACTCTCTATACTGGCACTCGGTAATACTGGCACTCCAAACATGGGCTCAATACTTGCTCTCAGTAAATATTTCAAGAGCTCAGTACTTTGCTCAATACTTCATTCAGTGATATTGCTGCTCAAAAATACTTGCACTCCATTTTTACACTGTAAGAACTTGTGACTTGACGACCTGATGATTTGATGGATTGTTCAGCCTCACTTTGATAACCATGAGTTTTGGGAGGGTGTTTTGTTGATGTGTACGTTGTTGTTTCCAGAATGTCAGGATCGAGGCCATGTTTCCATCCAAGTACTTCAAGGTGTTGTCGTCCACTGTAAACGGGACCTACCACCGGGTACAGACACTGGTCAAGGGCTTCACCGACATAGATGGAGCTCTCACAGCTGTTATACGAGAGGTTTGTACTCTGCTGTGAATTATCACAGATTTACCACTATTTCATGTTTAGCATTAACACAATCTACTAAGGATTAACATGTATTTTTAACTCAAATGATGTTTAAAATATGTGAGATATTTATTGGGGTGAGAGCTAGCACAGTTTGCTGTACAGCTGGATTTTTACTGCACAGAGTTGCCTACCTTGTCATGGCAGGATCCTATGATTGTGAGCACCATGGTAGTGCACATGAATTTCACCAGGAGTCTACCACTGACATCACTTCAGACTTTCCTGTTGGGCCGACATGCTATGGTGTGTGTCAAATACTGTTCTTTTTGCTGTTTGACCAACTTCTGACCGACTCTCATGTTCATTCTCAGGATGGATCAGAGTACGCCATCACACCGAATGTCAAGGGCAGCCAGGAAGTGGAAATCTACGACCCCATCATTGTTGACCCCCCAGAACTCTTCTTCCCTTGGGACCCCATCTCACAGTGCAGACACACCTACAAGATCAAGGTGAGAGATCAAGGTCACATGCTCACCCTGCAGGAGGGCAGGGGAATGAAGTTCAGGCTCCTTGTTTGGCTTTGGAAACATTATATTTCAATTGTGTTGTTTGAAACATTCCATGTAGTAATAGCAGAAACTTATCCAGATATTGCTGCATTAGATATTGAGGTGTTGTGATAAGGCAGCCTCAAATTACACTCACTCACTCACTCACTCACTCACTCACTCACTCTAATGTCATTGAAGGCCAGTGGAGGGAGCGGGGAATACGTGTGGAGCACCCTCAACGCCAGCATCACCAGCGTCAACATCAAGGGTGAGATTGTCACCATGGGCCTTGGAAGCACCAACGTAACAGCCGCTGATGCAAAGAATTCTGCCCACACTGGAACTGTACAGGTGAGTTTCATGTCTTCCGGCTGCATACTTCATAATAACTGTTTGTGTCAGATATTGTTGTTTCCATAGTGACATGGAGTTACTACCTGAGAAAGTAATACCAAGTGACATCGAGCAACTGGCTCCTGCGTAAAACAACGTTCACTTATTCTCCCCTGAATGACATCATATGTAGATGATCCTGGGTCTGAAGGGTCGCGGTGTGGTAGCCTAGTGGTTAGAGCGTTGGCTCGTCACGCCGAAGACCCGGGTTCGATTCCCCACATGGGTACAATGTGTGAAGCCCATTTCTGGTGTCCCACGCTGTGATATTGCTGCAATATTGCTAAAAGCGGCGTAAAACTGAACTCACTCACTCCTGGGTCTGAATCCAAGATTCTCCCTGCTTGTGAATTCTGCCTCCCCCATGGTGGTGGGTTCCACCGAATTGGTAAATGTGTAGGAACTACAGAAGACATCCTATTGACATTCAGCTGACATGTGATTTGACAGACACAGTCAGCCACTCCTCTCTCATCTATGTTTTCGATAATTGATTACAGATTCATGTGCTGCCCCCATCTGACCTCTCCTTCCCCCCAACGAAGGTGGAGGCGGCTATCGGCACCACACTCAGCATCCCACTTCAGGTTGCGGCACGGTATCGAGGTACGGGAACGCTACATACAAGTATCTGAAGGTGGATGATGAAGTCTATCAAACCTGAATTGAAGTCGACTGCTGCTGCAGTTTAATGATGACATACATGGATATGTAGAATAAACACGGAAGGATATAAATGTAGACTGAACACTCACAAAGTGGTATCCCTTTCCATCAAGATTCAAGTTGATTGAAATTTCCAGGAGGTTATATGAACAGTACATTAATTCAAAATTGGGTGACTGCCCACCACCTACCGACAGGTTTGTTTGGTCAAATTTGTTGATCTTTTACTCTATACTACGATTGGTCTGAAGGTAGATTTGTTTGAACATTTCAGGCAGTGTGCACAACTTCATGGATTGTCGAGAAATGCCCCTGAACCTGACGTACAGCGATGGGACGGTGTTTGACCAGCAGGGAGGTAGGTGGTCCGTTCTATGTTTTATGTATGGAGCAGATATTGCTTGAAAATTGGAAAAAGTATGGCCATTAGCAGACAGATGATTTGTTGTCTTGCCCTGACTGAAGATTGAAGTAATTATTACTCATGTACCGTGCATGTTTCTTCCACAGGTGACGTGAAACTGACTAGCGATGGCTGCACGGTGCTCAACTTCATCGCCAAACGTCAAGGTCATACAGAGGTGACAGCATCCTACCAGATTGGCAACATCGTCCTTCAAGACTCCATCACCATTGCTGCATACAACCCACTCAAGGTGAGCTAGCAAGCAACAGGCGAAATATGACGTCTGATTCGGTTCTGTTTCTTTCCAACCTGCATGTTTAGCTCAAGAGTTTGAAATAACCAGTATCTATTCAGGAAAATTATAGTTGTCTAAATTATTTGTGTGCGTTCTCTTGGATATGATGGAATGGTGTATATTTAATGGACAGGAACCTGATCGATGTTCGCCTGTTTCACTGGAGTACACAAGTAGAACAAATTGTCTCTCACCTCAACATATTCATATGATTCGATTGTTAAACTTTTGGTTTGACTTTCAAGAAAAGTTACATGTGCCTTGCTTTTGATTGTTCGATCTTTGTTGATGTAGACTGAAAGTAATTACAAGTAAACAGGACTCGTGTTGTGACAGCATCTAATTAATGTCCTCTAAACATGTGTAATGGGTACCATTTGTTAACATAAGGTATTCACTTCCTTTGAGACATCAGGTGGTGTAAACAAAACGTTTACTTGCAGCCAATAGATCCAGAGAAAGAGGCAGTGATTGCCGTGGCAACACTGAAGGAGGTGGTGTTCCAGGGAGGGCCTCAGCCATGGGTGCTCGACTCTTCACAATACTTCCAGACACGTCAGTATTCACTCTGTCTTTACTGTATATTTCATGGACTTAATTCATATGCATCAGGGGGGCGGTGGGGCAGCCTAGTGGTTAAAACGTTCGCTTGTCACGCTGAAGACCCAGGTTCAATTCCCCACATGGGTACAATGTGTGAAGCCCATTTCTGGTGTACCCTGCCGTGATATTGCTGGAATATTGCTAAAAGCGGTATAAAACCTCACTCACTCACTCACTCGCTCACTCTTGAGGTCCTAGCACCACAACTGTCATAAGTGTGTAACAGACAGGGAGCTACAATTGTTGCTTTGATGAACAGGGCCACAGTTGACATACAATAGCACGAAGATTGCTTTGCCATGATACCCCGTGCTGTTGCGTTTCACCAGACAGAGATGGGGTCAACAAGACAGTGGATTTGATGATGGGTTAAAAGTGCCTGAAGATTTTAGTCAGACCCTCTGTCTTTAAAGTCTTTGTCTTGTTGGCAGCCTGCCAGTGTGTTTTGCTTCCGTCACTGTTTCCCCACCGTGATATTTGTTGGAATATTGCTCAGATCGTCATCGACCGGTCGACCAGCTTTGTAGGTTTCGACCACCAGCTTTGTAGGTTTCAGCTTTGTAGGTTTCCAATGACCACCGTGGTCGACCAGCTGTGTAGGTTTCGACATCCACTGTGGTGACCACCAGGCTGACCAGCTGTGTAGGTTACCGACATCCACTGTGGTCGACCAGCTGTGTAGGTTACTGACGTCCACTGTGGTCGACCAGCTGTGTAGGTTTCCAACGACCACTGTGGTCGACCAGCTGTGTAGATTTTATGTCTTGTTGCAGTGATTCCCGAGAGACCCGCCATTATCAAGATGCAGAAGATGAACATGTTCAGCGTCAACAGTAAGTATATCTGAGAAATACAGGTCACCCCTCGTACCAGAAGGGTTTAAACCATATGCTTAGATCCGTCAAAATGTTCCTCCATCACCTGTGGAAACAGATGTCTTGCAGTCTTGTTGTGGTGTCTAGTTTTAGTCAGCCAATCAGATTAGGCCGTTATAAAGGTCCTAAGCCCTGCTGGGTTGAACTTTGTATAAAGTGTAACATTGACTGAAAACTGAAGGTATATGTAGAGCAGACAACTGAGTAACGTTATCATGTGTGTGTCGACTGACTTAACTTTGATGTAAACAGTGCCTGATTCACTGGATGTATACAGAGACTATACTGCAACTGGTGGTGTTCATGGGGTACTGAGGAACATGTTGACGATGTCAGGGTTAATGTTCCTGGTGGTGTAACACCCAGTGTGTTTAAATATCCAAGTGTTGCTGCATGAGCATGTGTGCCCGAGCTGATTTTGTCTGCATTCCTATTGAGAAATTACCTGAAAATATCAAGAATATTAACACAATATTTCCATATTCTAAAGACTGATTTTATTGGCAAGTCCTATGATTGTTAGCATTGTGTGTTTTCTTCTCTGAAATAAATTTAACAACATTTCAGCATTCATTGATCTTGAGCATGATTTGTTAGTTGTTGCACAATTATCACACAAAGTAAATCATGTTACTGTTAAATCAGAATCTTTGCCAACTGATAAAACAGGTGAGACTTTTCACTCGTTGCGCTTCCATTGTTATAGGAGCAAGTGCACTCCACTGCAGGTATCGCTTTACTTGATGCAAGATCTCTCATGTATGAACAACATACATGCAGGCGTCGGACGCACCGTATTGGGAAATATTAAGGATATTTACATAGTTTGAATTGCACCATTTTCTGAAAGTTGTTTTTCGGTGTCACAGAGTTACTGGTATTGAAAGTTTGTCCTGTTTTGGATGGTGTTGGTGCTTCCTTCACTTCCCAGTAATTAACGTCTCCATTTTGTTTGGATAAGTATCCGGTAACCATTGGATACGATCACACAGTGAAATGTTTGAAATATCTTGTGACATTGGCTAAATTTGTTGAACTTCAGATTTATGATTGGGTGTGTAATATGTCTTGCATCATGAAAATATTCATTCTTGTCACGCTATTTCTTGTCCTGGTAAACTGTCTATTCCTTCATGATCTGTGGTACTTGGGTGCTGTGTTACTTGACGATAACATCGCATTGCTTGTTGTGGAAACTGAGTAAGAAGGTATCAATAACATATGGGTGTGGACCTTGAAATACCACGGGATAAGTTTCAGTCAAAAGGTGCTAGCTGTCAAAACATTCTTTGTCTAGATTGGCACCCTGTCCGTATTCATGAGGGTCACCAAACTGTCCATTTAAGTGTAGTGGTGTGTGCTGGTGTTTACTAAGCATTCTACACCCCCATCTGTGTTGTGTTCACCTTGTTGATGTCACAGCAATATTTGCCCACTTGTAAGTCGGAGTTGCCTCTGTGCCCCCTGTGTCGTCCCTGTGTCATCCCTGTAAACTTTCCCAGGGTAATTACAAACTGGTAAATGGATTGAAATGCAGCTGAATGCTTTCGCTGGTTGTGGGTTGGTATGGAGCGTTGATCATTTGGTTTAATCCTCCTCTCTCTCTACCTCCTTCTGTACATGTTCACAGCCCACCACAGCTTGCTAGAGTAGACTATGTATAGCACTGGACTAAAGCTTCTCATACCCGAGCTTCCTCATGAACACACACCCTCCCTCTCATCATCAAACATATTTGTCTTCCCATACAAACTCTTCTTCACACTGTCTTCACTGGCAACCTGTGAAGATCCGGGTTAGAATTAGTCTTCAGTTACCCATTGTCGTAAGAGGCGACTAACGGGATTGGGTTGTCAAGTTCCCTGACTTGGTTAACACATGTCATCGGTTCCCAATTGCGCAGATTGATGCTCATGCTATTGATCCCTGGATTGTCTGGTCCAGACTCGATTATTTACAGGCCGCCGCCATATAGCTGGAATATTGCTGAGTGTGGCGTAAAACTAAACATACTCGCTCACATCACACACTCACTCACTCACTCCAACAATGTTAACATAGATTGCACTATTTACAATAACACAGTTACTATTATATGAGTAAACATTTCATATGTGGCTCGAATCTAATTTGTGTGAGAATAAAAGTAGTACTTTAATACAATGGGTTTTGAAACTGATGGCCATGAAACACATTGTTGATCTCTCCAATGTTAACTGATGATAAATAGATGTGATACGGACATGAAACCCATTGTTGATCTGTCCAATGTGATACGTACATGGGTAGTACTGGCAACTGAAGAAACAACGTGACCTTGACATTCACATCTGTTTACAGGAGGATATCACGCCTTCAGTGTTCTGTGTCTGGACTTCGGGGAGCAGGTAGGTCTCATTCACCTGAACTTATAGCGTTTGGCTATTGGAACTGTGCCAATATATACATACCCGAGGGGCACACACAGTTTGTGATCCGGACTACCAGTTGTCGGAATTCCAGTCTGGATGGCTGATTTGTGTTAGATCGCTGACTTTGTGTGCAGGTGATTAGGTGCCTGACTTCGTGTGCAGGTGATTAGGTGCCTGACTGTGAGCGTATGGGTTCTAAAATGTTTGAACTTGAAAGTGTAATGCCAAATGTAACATGTCACATCTGACCACTTTCTGAAACATTTGATGTCAGTAGTATCTGCTGTCATGTTTCCACACCATACTGAGGAAATTGTCTTGTCCTACTGCAGGTGCTGACACTGAAGGTTGGCAACAAGAAGACCGCCAAGAACCACTTCCCTGCATCCGAGGAGACCCACATCAGGTGAGGGAGGGTTGTGTTGGGGAGACCCACATCAGGTGAGGGAGGGTTGTGTTGGGGAGACCCCCATCAGGTGAGGGAGGGTTGTTCAGGGAGACCCCCTATCAGGTGAAGGAGGGTTGTGTCGGGGAGACCCCCATCAGGTGAGGGAGGGTTGTTCAGGGAGACCCCCATCAGGTGAGGGAGGGTTGTTCAGGGAGACCCCCATCAGGTGAGGGAGGGTTGTGTCAGGAGACCCCATCAGGTGAGGGAGGGTTGTGTCAGGGAGACCCCATCAGCTGAGGGAGGGTTGTGTCAGGAGACCCCATCAGGTGAGGGAGGGCTGGAGGCCCCAGGTGAGGAGGGTTGTGTCAGGAGACCCCCATCAGGTGAGGGAGGGTTGTGTCAGAGACCCTATCAGGTGAGGGAGGGTTGTGTCAGGGAGACCCCATCAGGTGAGGGAGGGTTGTGTCAGGGAGACCCCATCAGGTGAGGGAGGGTTGTGTCAGGGAGACCCCATCAGGTGAGGGAGGGTTGTGTCAGGGAGACCCCCATCAGGTGAGGGAGGGTTGTGTCAGGGAGACCCCATCAGGTGAGGGAGGGTTGTGTCAGGAGACCCCCATCAGGTGAGGGAGGGTTGTTCAGGGACCCCCATCAGGTGAGGGAGGGTTGTGTCAGGGAGACCCCATCAGGTGAGGGAGGGTTGTGTTAGGGAGACCCCATCAGGTGAGGGATCAGGACCCCATCAGGTGAGGGAGGGTTGTGTCAGGGAGACCCCCATCAGGTGAGGGAGAGTTGTGTTAGGGAGACCCCCATCAGGTGAGGGAGGGTTGTTCAGGGAGACCCCCATCAGGTGAGGGAGGGTTGTGTCAGGGAGACCCCCATCAGGTGAGGGAGGGTTGTGTCAGGGAGACCCCCATCAGGTGAGGGAGAGTTGTGTTAGGGAGACCCCCATCAGGTGAGGGAGGGTTGTTCAGGGAGACCCCCATCAGGTGAGGGAGGGTTGTTCAGGAGACCCCCATCAGGTGAGGGAGGGTTGTGTCAGGAGACCCCATCAGGTGAGGGAGGGCTGTGTTAGGAGACCCCCATCAGGTGAGGGGGAGGGTTGTGTCAGGGGAGACCCCATCAGGTGAGGGAGGGTTGTGTCAGGGAGACCCCCATCAGGTGAGGGAGAGTTGTGTTAGGGAGACCCCCATCAGGTGAGGGAGAGTTGTGTTAGGGAGACCCCCATCAGGTGAGGGAGGGTTGTGTTGGGGAGACCCCCATCAGGTGAGGGAGAGTTGTGTTAGGGAGACCCCCATCAGGTGAGGGAGGGTTGTTCAGGGAGACCCCCATCAGGTGAGGGAGGGTTGTTCAGGTAGACCCACTTCAGGTGAGGGAGAGTTGCATACTGTATTGTGGTGGAAAGTTCCAAACAACCATTCAAGCTATCAATCAATCAATCAATTAGACTGAATCTCCCATCCAAAACTAACAAACTCAGTCACACCCTCAGTCAGTTAACCAGCTAGTTCCTCACTGTTGCCAGATTCCTGTGTGCCAAGCCAGTGGAGCTCCATCTGCAGCCAGTACTGAACCTGGACCCCAGCCTCCCGCCATGCCCTGTCACCCACGAGACACATCTACCTGTGAGTAGCTACTGGGAGACATGCAGAGATGTTGGAACATTTTGTCTGTTTCCCCACTCCTTCCACACAGCTGTCAAATATATTGCCTTTTGAGCATGTGTAATAACAAGCAGTAAATATTCCAGGTTTACAACTTGAAGCTTCTTTGAGTGTTTGGAATTAAAGTAGGGGTGTGTCCAGTGTTATTTCATATCGTCCTTCAGATTCCTATTCACTGTGAATATGAGAGAGACATCCTGGTTACCGTGACTGACAGCAGCGGCCGGAAGTTTGACAACTTCTCATCTCTTGCCATCACCTGGAGCGTCTCCAGCACCAGCCTAGCCTCCATCCCCGACCCTGACGTACTGACCACCGATGTCACCTCCACACAGGACAGCAAGAAGATTGTCAGAAGTAAGTGGAGAAACGACGTCATTTCTATGATTTAAATGTGCTTCAGATGAGTTGGTACTGTGCTTCAAATTGTTGCAAAGTGAAAATGTGCATAACTATATTTGAAGTGTGACGTTGCGTTGGTTCAAACGTTTGATTTGACAATGCAGAGAGTGGTGTCCCTTTGTTTTCCCAGGATCTGTAATTCTTTTTCATGAGAGATCCTCCTTTGGGTACATATAAGCATTAAAACGTCCATTTTAATCCCTACGACAGTTGTAATTATATTTTGAATAAAATATTTACAAAACAAAAACAACGTTTAAGTCTTATTCGACCACCCCTACGGAACCCAGAATGGACCCGTCCGCCAAGAACAGGTAACTCTAGGTGCTAACCTCGTACCTCACTTTCCATGCTGTCGTTCTTCAGTATGGACGTATGTGTCCATCAGCCTGTCTTACAAGTTGATTTCTCCCTTACGATTGCAAGATGAGTACTTCAAAAACAGCTACTGTTTGTATGGTTATCTCGTATTCGCATGGGCGATAAATGATAAATGTTTCTGAAAGTTTTCATTCATCATTTGTTGTATCTTGCGTCTTAGTCCCTGTTGGCTTGCTATGTGCTTGTCAAGATGGCGGACGGGAGGCGATACGCACTTGCCTGTTCAGGTTAGCCTGTAGCTTTCTTGCCCCGGCTTCCCGTTAAATATCCCTCGGCCACCCTTGTTGCCTCCCACACACGCAAGCGGAGACTTGCCGACTGGGGGAGTGCACTGCCTCATGCCACACGTCCCTGTAGGCGGCCGGCTTACACTCTCCCTCCCGGAATGGGTGAAAGCCACTTCAAATCCCTGGGTCCTGTCCACACTCCGGGATGGCCATATGCCACAGTGGAAGCGAGGTCCGCCACCATTCACCGGGGTGCGGCATACTCCTGTGCCCATCTTCTGGGAAAAAGCAGACATTCTCCGTGCCAAGGTCAAGTCTCTACTGGACAAGCAGCCATCAAGTTGGTTCCGGAAGGTCACGAAAACGAGGGATTTTACTTCACGTATTTCATAGTGACCAAGAAGGACGGAGGGTGCAGACCCATACTCAATCTGAAAGGGCTGAACAAAATGATAGAAGTGCCGTCTTTCAGGATGGAGACACTGCGCTCAGTGATCTCAAAGACGCTTACCTACATGTACCTTCGGTTCCAGTTTCGTGTGTTCCCCTTCGGCATCTCCACGGCGCCAAGGGTGTTCACCAAACTTGTGTTAATCCCAGCTCAGTTAGCCAGGTCAGAGGGCAGATTTTGTCACCCGTACCTCGACGACTGGCTACTCCGGGCGTTAGGCCAGCAGTTGAGCAGGAATACCACACATCACGTGATGGATATTCTCATACGGCTGGTATGGATCATCAATCTCAAGAAATCATAACTCGTTCCGACACAGGATCTGGTTTTCTTGGGTGCGAGATTCAATACAGAGACGGGGATTGTTTCCCTGTCTCAGGACCGCATTGCCAAAGTTCAGAGAACTGTTTTACAGTTTCTTGGGACTCCACGGTTTCAGCTCGGTCGTGGCTCGAGTTGCTAGGCAACAGCAGCAACTGTGGATGATGTGGCGTGCACGTCTGAGGATGAGGCCAATACAGCAGGCACTGGCTCAGCTGTGGTCCCACTCGGAGAGCTACGAGAAGGTCCTCGTGAGGCCTGACTGGTTAACCCCTCACTTGTGGTGGTGGACGGACGCCGGGAACCTATCCAGGGGTGTTCTCTCTCTCAGGTTGGGGATGTGTGTGTTCTGGGCGACAGGTCAGTCTCAGGCCTTTGGCCGGAGAACGAGATCAGTCTGCATATCAATGTGCTAGAATTGAGAGCAGTCCGACGGGTGTTCGAGAGCTTTGTGGATCAGGTTCGTGGCCAAGTGGTTCGTCTAGAGATGGACAACCAGACGGCCATGACCTATATCCTGAAGCAAGGTGGCACGGTATCAGCGTCCCTGCTAGAGGCGGCAGTTTCTGCTATGGTGCGACAAGTACAACATACGGGTGATGCCAGTCTATCTCCCGAGGGTAGACAACGTTCAGGCGGACGCGCTCTCCTGTCGTATGCTAGCTCCACACGAGTGGCTGCAAGACCGGGATTATCTCCCAGTTTTGGGGTCGTTCCAGGTGGATCTGTTTGCCTCTGGGGTGACGAACCAGATACCAGTGTTTTGAGCGATAGCCAACAATGCCTTCCAACTCGATTGGACGGACAGGGCGTTCCCACCGATACCACTGACATCCAAGATCCAATCACAGTTGGCCACCCAACCAACTCGACTGTTAGTACTTCTTGCACCCGCACCCGAATCCCAGGATTCAGTGGGTGGCATGCCCACTGTCCAGAATCGCCTCCATGCGAGCGGAATTCCTGCATCAGTTGCAAACACAATTCTGGCTTAGCGGAAGGATTTGACAAACGTTCAATATGAGGATAGATGGACCTGCTATACGCGCTGGTGTGTCGGCAGGGGGATTCTCTATCCCTTTTTCTGCATATCTAGTCACAGTGCTTGAGTTCCTCCAGTCTCGGTTGGAAGCGGGACTAGCCACTTCAACTGTTCGAGGTTACTCAACGGCGTTTCATATACCTGTCGACGGTGCACTCTTGGGGCAGCACCCTCTTGTATAGCATCTTTTAGCAGGCGTGGACAGAATCCGTCCGGCTGTCCGGTGAATCAGTCCCCTTTGGGACTTGTCAATCGTTCTTGATTGGCTGTCCAGTCCTCTCTTTTTACGATCTGTCGGCTCTGTCCCTACAGCTGTTGACGTGGAAGGCAGCTTTTCTCGTGGTGGTAACCTCCGGCAGGCGAGTAGGCGCCATTCATTCAATGTCGGCCGACCCCCAGCTAACTGTTTTCCATAAAGACAGAGTTAGCATTAGGTTGCCAGATACTTACCGTCCTAAGAGAGACAGCGCCTTTCATGTCACGGCGCCTATTGAGCTTCCAGCTTTCACTCAGCCTTCCCCACCAGGTACCTCTCTTCGGCATGCTCACGTCTTAGATGTGCGTAAGACCCTCAAGGCTTATATCAAGCGGACATTGGCTATCCGGAGAGATAACCAATTGTTTTGCTGTTACGGTGGAGGTAAGGCTGGCCTTCCTGCGAACAAGCAGACCATATCTAGGTGGCTTGTCTCTGCCATTTGTATGAGCTATACACAGAAAAGGTTAACACCACCTACTGGGTTAAAAGCTCAGGGTTAACACCACCTTCTGGGTTAAAAGCTCATTCGGTTAGAGCAGTAGCCACATCTAAGGCTTATGCTTATGCTGTGGCTCTGCCTATTGAGGAGATCTGCTCCGTGGCTATCTGGAGCCGGCCGAGTACGTTCATCCGGCATTATCAACTTGACAGACACTCCAGTGAGCGTGCTCGGTTCGGTCAGTCAGTTCTCTCCAGTGGGCAGAGTCGTAACTCTCTAGCCGATTGAGCTATAGCATTACGATTTTTATCTGGTTTTTACTGGTGGCGGGTTTGCAGTCAACTTTCCTTCCCTTTTACCCTTACTTGGTGTTGGTTTTTTTATGGTGATGGTTTGTTCTCCCCGTATGTCAATATTGCACATTATTCCTTAGAAATCTAGGCTTGGCTGTGGTTTCATTGGATTTAATGTCTCTCCCTCCCTAGGTAGTTATGAAACTCGGGATGGGGGTGGGGCACTATTGTTTACTACATGCGTGGTTCACTGCTACATTTGCATATGAGCAGAATAGATAACCCCTGACCCTGGACCACGCCCTCGCCTGATTGGCTGAAGAGGTCACGTGGCCAGGTAAGTGAGCTGTTCCTTTTTCTTTTTATAGCTGGGAAATTCCACTTCTCGGGGGCTTAGTTTATCAGACAGAATACCACTCCCAGGACTCTTGTCTTATGCTATATGTACCCCAAGGAGGATCACTCATGAAAAAGAATCGAACAAACCTGTAGAGGTTGCTGATTCTTTGATGAGAGTCCTCCTTGGGGTACGGCCACCCACATTCTGTCTGATACGTTCAGCATGGAAAGTGAGGTACGAGGTTAGCGCCTAGAGTTACCTGTTCTTGGCGGACGGGTCCATTCTGGGTTCGGTAGGGATGGTCTAACAAGACAAAAACATAGTTACAACTGTCGTAGGGATTAAAATGGACATGTTAATGCTTATATGTACCCCAAGGAGGATCTTTCATGAAAAAGAATTACAGATCCTGGGAACAGGTTTGTTCGAATCTTTGGTTTGAAGTGTGACGTTATGCTGGTTCAAGCACACAGGTTTGACAATGCTGTATATGTTTATCATTAGGGTATCTGCCAAGAGTTTTAAGTGTTTGTCATCATGCCGAAAGTCTGGGTTTGATTCCCTTCATAGATATCATGTATGATGTCCCATACATATTGCTGAAAATGGTGCTTTAAGTGATGTAAACCAGGGTTAGGAAGGGTTTCACAGGCTGCAGGAATCATTGGATGCATAATTTCTGCATAATGATTTGCCAGGAAGAGTTGTGCCCCTTAGAGGCACAGATCTCCTGGGTGTTGGGTTCAAATCCCAGAAGGACCGCCTCCGTGGTGTAGTGGTTAGAGCGTCCGCCCAGAGTGCGGAAGGTCACGGGTTCAATCCCCGACCGCGTCATACCAAAAGACGTTAAAATATGGTACTTGTTGGTTCCTGCCTGGCGCTCGGCATTAATGGGTACAACAAGGACTGGTCGGCTCGGAGTCAGTATAATGTGTCTGAGTGGGGTATTCATGCTTCACTGCGGCATGGTATCTCAGTGGGCTAGCACTATAAAACCAGCTTCAGTCTGGGCTAGTACAAGCAGCCGCACATACACATACACACGCATGCACGTCGTCATATGAGCCAAATATTCTCAAGCACGACGTTATACCGAATTCCAGCACCACCACCGCCGCCACCACCACCACCACCACCACCACCAAATCCCAGAATTGACTCAGTTATGATCTTAGGTTTGTCAGTCTGCATGGAACCCATGTAGGTGAAAGTTTCTGTTTTCCTCCCATAGTAAACAAGAATGCATGAATAAGACATAAACATCATGACATCATTGTTATAAACACCCGTTTTCTCTCCAGCTTACCAGACTCTTCAGCCAGCTGGAAGACCAGGCACAGTAGTTGTCTCGGCAACCACCAACAGCTACAACACCAGACATCTGAGGAACGCTGGCAGTAAGATTTCTGTGAGTGGCTACACTTGGAGGTTTCCTCTCAATAGTAAATCTTGACCAGAAGCACACTGCCATCAGGATCTGTTGTATTTATATGTCTGTCAGTTCTATAGGACTGTCACTGAGTGGTGGGCAGGTTTCCTGGTACTCTGTACTTGGTACGACTGTTGCTGGAGATAAACCTATCATGTGACAGCAGACCTTGTACTGTGATACCTAAGGACATAACAGTCTAAATTCTCTTGTCTTGTCAGGAAGCCATCCATCCCCGAATCAGCAAGTCGATCGAGCTGCAGCTGGTTGAGGCAGCCTTCATCTCGCCGGGAGCAAGTGTCCGTCTTCAACCATCCCTCCAACAAGGTCAGCACAAAGTGTGAACCATAGGAATATAGCCCTGGGTTGAAGGGGGCTCTGTAGACAGAGAGTTGTGTGCCTTTGTTGTGCCAGGATCTGTAGATCTGTGGTTTGAATTTCTAAATTGTGTAAATTCTGATGCTGCTTGATCAGTGATTTGTTTTCTATTCTTCTAGAACATTATCTTGTCTTGCGAACGGAATCAGAACACTGGTAGAGCTGACACAAACGTTATATCTTTCAGGTGATGATAAGCATCAAGAAAGGCTCTGGGTATTTCTTTATTGAGGAGCACAATTCAGACGTTGTCGGGCTCAAGTATGACATCAAGTCCAAGTCCGTACTGGTTCGTATATTTATTCAGACTTGTAGCGATATTGAATTGCTTTTTCTAATGCCAAGTTTTCATTCAGGCTTCATACAGCTGGAGGCTTTCATCTTCGTTAAATGATCGGTGTGGTCAAAGTCAGAAACAAAATTGATGTGCAGTTAAGACGTCTATTGTGTCAAGATGTGTGTTATGTTAGGATATGTGTTATTGCAAGATGTGTGTAATGTTCAGATGTGTGTAATGTCAAGATGTGTGTTGTGTCAAGATGTGTAGTGTCAAGTTGTGTGTAATGTCAAGACATGTGTAATGTTAAGACGTGTTGTGTCAAGATGAGTATTGCGTCAAGATGTGTGTAATGTTGAATGTGTCTGCATAGTACCAGGATATTGAGTGTCAAGATGTGTGTTGTGTCAAGATATGTGATTTGTGTTTCAGATGAACCCACTGAAGGATGGATCCCAGACGTTCACAGTGTATGATCTGTGCCTGGACAACGTCCTACACCCGACTGGCACCGTCCACATCTCTGGCGTCGGTAGCATCCAGGTTGTGGTGCTGGACAAGGTAGGAATGGCTGACAGCAGCTAAGAAAATGAACAAACAGTGTTCTCAATATAGGGGCAGCTTACCTTTCGACTAACTGTCGACACGTGAAGATCCGGGGTAGAATAGGTCTTCAGCAACCCATGCTTGCCACAAAAGGCGACTATGCTTGTTGTAAGAGGCGACTAACGTGATTGGGTGGTCAGGCTCGCTGACTTGGTTGACACATGTCATCGGTTCCCAATTGCACAGATTGATGCTCATGCTGTTGATCACTGGATTGTCTGGTCCAAACTCGATTATTTACAGACCGTTGCCATATAGCTGGAATATTGCTGAGTGCGGCGTAAAACTAAACTCACTCACTCACTTGATTTAACTGTCCTGAACTAACTTTATAGCCGAAAGTATGGGTGGAATACTTTGTAAGGCCGGATATGTCTGACAGACTTTAATCTGATCGTGGAAATCAGTGAAATGTAGAAGTCCTGACAAGTTCTGTATCGTTGCTTGGTAATGGTGTTGACTTGCTGTTTATCTTGAACATGGACTGTACACGGCAGCAGACTCGCTGACTAGCTGTCCCAAATCGTTGCTGACTGTTCCAGGTGGAGGTCCGGAAGGAGCTGAAGGCCAGAGTGCAGGTCCTGGACGTCCATGGCAACGCTCTTCTCTCAAGCTTCTTCTCCCTTATGGGCCTCAAGCTGGAGCCTGCATCTGACATCATCACTGTCAGGTAAGTGGTTGTCATGGAAACCTTCTTCTCTAAAGTTTCTTCTGCCTTATGTGCCTCAAGCTTCAGCTTCTACTTAATGGGCATCAAACTGGTCCCTGTGTTTGACATCAACACGTTCAGGTAAATCATTTGATCTGCTCAAGAGTTACTACCAGAACTCAGTACACCAAGGCCGACCGCGTCATACCAAAAGACATTAAAATATGGTACTTGTTGGTTGGTCCTGTACAACAACATTCGGAGTCAGTATAATGTGTCTGGGTGGTATTTATGCTTGTTGGTCAGTGGGTGGCATGCCCACTGTCCAGAATCGCGCCGCATTAAATGCTTCTATTGAGCTTCCAGCTTCAATCAGCCTTCCCACCAGGTACCTCTTCGGGCGCTCACATCTTACATGTGCGTAAGACCCTAAAGGCTTATATCAAGCGGACATTGGCTATCCGGAGAGATAACCAATTGTTTTGCTGTTACAGTGGAGGTAAGGCTGGCCTTCCCAAGCAACAAAGCAGACCATATCTAGGTGGCTTGTCTCTGCCATTTGTACGAGAGCTATACACAGAAAGGGTTAACACCACCTTCTGGGTTAAAATCTCATTTGGTTAGAGCAGTAGCCACATCTAAGGCTTATGCTTATGCTGTGGCTCTTCCTATTGAGGAGATCTGCCCGTGGGGCTATCTGGAGCCGGCCAGCACGCTCATCCGCATTATCAACTTGACAGACACTCCAGTGAGCGTGCTCGGTTCGGGTCAGTCAGTTCTCCAGTGGGCAGAGTCGTAACTCTCAGCCGCATTGAGCTATAGCATTACGATTTTATCTGGTTTTACTGGTGGCAGGTTTGCAGTCAACTATCCTTCCCTTTACCCTTACTTGGTGGTTTTTTTATGGTAATGGTTTGTTCTCCCCCGCATGTCAATATTGCACATTATTCCTTAGAAATCTAGGCTTTGCCGCGGTTTCATGGGATTTAATGTCTCTCCCTCCCCAGGGTATTTATGAAACTCGGGATGGGGTGGGGCACTATTGTTTACTACATGCGTGGTTCACTGCCACATTTGCATATGAGCAAAATAGATAACCCTGACCCTGGACCACGCCCTCACCTGATTGGCTGAAGAGGTCAAGTGGCCAGGTAAGTGAGCTGTTCCCTTTTCTTTTATAGTTGGGAAATTCCACTTCTCGGGAGCGTAGTTTATCAGACAGAATACCACTCCCAGGACTCTTTGTCTTATGCTATATGTAAATTTTAAGGAGGATCACTCATGAAAAAGAATCGAACAAACCTGTAGAGGTTGCTGATTTTTTTATGAGAGTCCTCCTTGGGAATGGCCACCCACATTCTGTCTGATACTGCCGCTCAGCATGGAAAGTGAGGTACGAGGTTAGTGCCTAGAGTTACCTGTTCTTGGCGGACGGGTCCATTCTGGGTTCGGGTAGGGGTGGTCTAACAAGACAAAACATAGTTACAACTGTCGTAGGGATTAAAATGGACATTTTAATGCTTATATAAACCCTAAGGAGGATCTTTCATGAAAAAGAATTACAGATCCTGGGAACAGGTTTGTTCGAATCTTTGGTTTGAAGTGTGACGCTATGCTGGTCTGCGCATTGCAGGTTTGACAATGCTCTATATGGTTCTCATTAGGGTATCTGCAAACAGTTGGAAGTGTTTGTCATCATGCGAAAAGTCCGGTTTGATTCCCTTCATAGATATCGTGTATGGTGTCCCATACATATTTGCTGAAAATGGTGCTTTTAAGTGATGTAAACCAGGGCTAGGAAGGGTTTCACAGGCTGCAGGAATCATTGGATGCATAATTTCTGCATAATGAGACCGCCTCCGTGGTGGTGTAGTGGTTAGAGCTGGCCCACCGAGTGCGGAAGGTCACGGGTTCAATCCCCTGTCATACCAAAAGACGTTAAAATATGGTACTTGTTGGTCCCTGCCTGGGCTTCAGCATTAATGGGTACAACAAGGACTGGTGGGCTCGAGTCAGTATAATGTGTCTGAGTGGGGTATTCATGCTTCACTAGTGCATGGTATCTCAGTGGGCTAGCACTATAAAACCAGCTTCAGTCTGGGCTAGTACAAGCAGCCGCATACACATAAATATGTATGCACGCTTGTCATATGAGTGAAATATTCTCGCTAACTTTCGACGTTAAGCCCAATTTCACCTCACCTCACCTCACCTCAGTACACCTAGGACTAAGTTTGATGGTGTGTCTGGTCCAGATTCAAACACTTCACCACAATAACCTCTCTCACAATCATGTTTATCTGTTGACAGGTCCTCTACAGACAAGGATGACAAGCTCTCAGCAGTGTACACTGTGTACGGAGCTGTGGTAGGGCACACCTCACTCACCGCATTCGTCAACCTCCCATCTGGCGAGACCGTCTACAGCACACCAAAACCAGTTGAGGTAAGTAACCAGTAATTACTGCATAAGGTATGATAGAATTATCTGAGTGGATTAATGGTGAGATGACATTCAGTAATTTCTTACACTGGATACAGGGTATTTAACTCTTCCACTACAACACTCAGTGGTATGATCCACGTCTATATCTTCAACCAGTTGTTGTATGTGTTTGTAGTCAGCGGCGTCCGGACGTGCCCGATTCTTGTTAACGAGGTATCCATGCACTGTTGTACACCAGTACACTTCAAATTTGCAGTGACCAGTCGATTTACACTGGGGATTACCACACCAGTCGATATTGCTGGAATATTGCTAAAAGCGGCGTAAAACTAAACTCAGTCAGTCAGTCACCACGACACTTTGACCACTTTTCAAACTCTTGTAAACGCGATATCTCATAAAGCATTGCACCCAATGTCTTCAATTATGTCGACATCCTACATTCGGTGATTATGCGGACACCAGTCATTTCAGGCATTTTGTATGTGACCAAAAAATGAAAAGTAGTAAATATGTTATAAATATTCCATTCTTTAGCGGCGGGGGCATTGCCATATTAGTGGCAAACACTTGTTAGGTTTGAATGAATCTTGAAACGGTTTGTGTATGTTGAGATGTGAAGATATGTGCTTTGTGAGAATGCTCCTAACAATGATGATGATGATGATGATGATGATCATGGTTTTTCTAGGTGTTTCCTCCCCTTCGTCTTGAGCCCAAGAACATCACCATCATCATTGGTGCCAAGTTCCAGGTAAGTTGACTTACTACAGCATAAGCAACAGTCACGCTCTCACTTAAAGGTCACATGCAACGAAAAACACAACTTTGCAGATTCTGATACCTTTCGGTATGGACTTACCAAACAAAATCGTCAAAATGCAAATTCAACTTATAAAGTTAAAAATAACGATGAAAAAAACGCGAAATCGGAGTTCAAACGCTTTCAGTAATTTTCCCCACTTTTCTGGGGAAAACGGGTTTCAACAGCTGGCTGCGCTCATAGCATGTGCCAGTGAAATAGGTTTCAGCGCAGCTTGGAAGCGGGTTGTCGGGTGAATACCGGGTGAAGGCTTTGGTGTGAGCTATTTTTCTAATGTTTTGTTGATATCTCACAGGGCGAGCTTTTATATGATATGACAGTAAATTAACTGTTTATATAATTTCATTTGTCTATTTCACCACACGTTCTTCTTACCGAGTCACTTTCTCAGTTCGATGCTTAAAAGCAATGTCATTATTTAGCGTTGTACAGAATTTCTAACTGTGATATAGATATGTCATTGTCACAGACAAAACTCAATGTCTTGTTTTATTGACACCTGTGTGTCTGCCTGCCTGTCTGACAATATTCAATACACAGCTGCTATCACTGACCACATGCAATTTGAACTTAACACCAATCAGGCTATACACCATAAACAAAATGCATTGATTTATGGCCCGAAGTTCGGTCTCTGTCACATTATGTAATTACACAGACAGGCAGGTGTGATACTTGAACACATGACATGTTATGATGTCTGTTGATTGCAAAATGTTATACATAAAAAATGAGCCTGTATTTACAAAACCCAACATCTCTATATATACACACACAATGAGCCGTGAAGGCATCTGCAAATGAACCAGCCGTTACACTTGAGTGCACACCCACCCGCTCTGACTGGGTTCGGTATCCCGGCTGCTTAGTTTCTTGGGAAGTAAACCGAAAGTACACAATTTTGCACTGTTGATTTGCGATTGCGCTTTATAATTTTGTTTATAGGTTTTCATTACCAGCAATGTATATTATATGTCATGAATAAGTGATAATTGTGTTTTAATTATGTTTGATTTTTGGTTGCATGTGACCTCACTTAAGTATTGGTTAATAAGAAGCAGCTAATTGTTTTAATTTCAATGTATTCTTTGTGTACCTTTACCATTGAGACCTTCTTTGAGGACAAGTGTCTGTAACACTGCCCCCTACCCCCAGGTCCGAGCTACTGGTGGCCCGCAGCCCCAGAGCACCATCGAGTTCTCCATCATTGACAGCAGCATCTCCTCCGTGTCGTCCAGTGGACTTCTGGAGGGGCTCGAACTCGGCACCACACGTGTTGTCGGGAAAGCTGTCGGTACTGACCCAATCACCGGGGAAACAGTCGTCTACTCACAGGTAGGTCATTGTTGACTCACAAATAGGTCATTGTTGACTCTCAGGTAGGTAGGTCATTGTTGACTCACAGGTAGGTAGGTCATTGTGGGTGGATGTTAGATGGTAGGTAGGTCATTGTTGACTCACAGGTAGGTAGGTCATTGCTGACTCACAGGTAGGTATCATTGTGGGTGGATGTTAGATGGTAGGTAGGTCATTGTGGACTCACAGGTAGGTAGGTCATTGTTGACTCACAGGTAGGTAGGTCATTGTGGGTGGATGTTAGATGGTAGGTAGGTCATTGTTGACTCACAGGTAGGTAGGTCATTGCTGACTCACAGGTAGGTCATTGTCAACTCACAGGTAGGTCATTGTCGTCTCAGTTGACTCACTTATTGCCATAGTTAGGGAGCTAAAGTGTGTAACAATGAGTGACCCTGCAGATGCTATTTTTACATACTAAGGCCCTAATCTTAAATGTTAGGGTTCTAATAACAGCAGTCTCAGAAGGTTGGATAGTTAGGGATTCTGTTTTCACTTTTGTACAGTTAATAGCATGTAAAGTATACTGTATATATGTCAATGAATTGTTAAGAGAAGCATCAGTTGTAGATGAAATGGTGGCACTAATTTGCCCAATCCTGCTTTGATACAGCTGGATAACACATCCACCCACAATGTCCAGTGTTAAAAGCTGGCACACTGATCATAAATTATAACACCTTTTCATTTGTCAAGTCAAAACCAGTTTTTCCAACACTCAGTTTTTGTTCATCAATGTTCTTGATGTTTATTCCTCCAGGATGATGCTGTCGTGAACGTTGTGATGTTGGCTGGGGTTCGGATCTACTCCCCACTGACACGGGTCCAGACTGGCACACAGGTGAGATGTACCTCCATCACACTGACACACTAATGACAGGACATATAGCATTGCCTGAAACCCGGACCACACCACATGGGGCTCAGGGTGGTGCCACATTCTTAGTTCAACAAAACTTGCTCTAATATTGTTGTCAATCTCGTAACACTGAACTCTCTCTCCACAGGTGTGAACTTGTGTATAATTAGCTTGTCGGAACACCTGTATGGCAAGCACTAAAAAACTTCCTTGAACCTGGATAAATATACTATGCTCTGTTAACATCTGCCTGTGTGTGTTGTGTGTGGGGTCATGGGTCTAAGTCTCACTCTACTTGATTCAGCTGCCTGTGTATGCAGTCGGACTGACAGAACATGAAACGCCCTTCACCTTCGGCAGCTCTATGCCTCCTCTGTCCTTCCATTGGTCCGTCAACAGCCGTAAACTGGTCTCCCTCAAATCAGTCTACCATAAGGTGAGACACATATTGTCACGTCTTTCTTTGTCCAGGCATATGGGCCAGAGGAAACCAGCAAGCACTTTCTTTGAGACGTTAAAGATGGAGCCAAGCCATTAGATTGGTTTGGAAAATGACTAAAATGACACATAGAAAGATGTGTTATAGAAAGATGTGTTCTGGAAACGTGTGTTCTGGAAACGTGTGTTCTGGAAATGTGTGTCCTGGAAACGGGTGTTCTGGAAACGGGTGTTCTGGGGGGTGTTCTGGAAATGTGTGTTCTGGAAACGTGTGTTCTGGAAATGTGTGTCCTGGAAACGGGTGTTCTGGAAACGGGTGTTCTGGGGGGTGTTCTGGAAATGTGTGTCCTGGAAACGGGTGTTCTGGAAACGGGTGTTCTGGGGGGTGTTCTGGAAATGTTTGTTCTGGAAACGTGTGTTCTGGAAATCTGTGTTCTGGAAACGTGTGTTCTGGAAACATGTGTTCTGGAACACTAAGATTGTGGGATGTGATGTTTCAGAGCAACATTCTGTTCTCGGAGGAAAGCGACTTCGCTCAGCGGCTGTTTGCTGTTGAAGCTGGTCATGTGACTGTCAGTCTGCGTGTGACGCCTTCACAGCAGAGTTCAAACCAGGTCACCGGCAACATAGTGCTGCGAGATGAGATTCAAATACAGGTGAGTTACGGAGTCTGTGAAATGGGATTCTTAACGGTGCTTAGTAGTTCATCATCTTGATCTGTAGCTTGATCAAGTTGCATAATTTTAGCTCTTATTGAGAGATCATGCTGATATCTTACTGAAATATTGTCACCTGCCATATGTTTGACTGTAAAACCACATGATTTAATTCCTTGTATACGTTGTGATGGCAGGTGTTTGAAAAGCTATCCCTGGTGAACCCCAGCGTCTGTGACGGTCACATCCTCATCACCCCCAACACTGAGACCATCATCAAGACCAACAGGTGGGTGGATGCTGATATCTTGTCATATTTCAGGTTAAATGGTGAAGCTTAAAGTTGAATGCAGTTCTCATACTTTGTTTGATTATCAGTACACAATACTGAATTGTAATTGAAAACTGAGCATTTCAATCAAATACATGATTATGATGAAAGATTTGCCTACTACTTTTTATGAATACTTGATATACCTGAAATGGTTGGTACATTAAAGTTGCCCTGTCAGTTCGTCAGCTCAGAATGTCATGTGGTATATGCTGATGATAGCAAATGTTCTGTAGAGATCTGGCGGCACGTCTGACATACCACGTCCTGCACAACAGCGATAAGTCTGTGGTGACCATGAAGCAGAACGGCGTCCTTGTGTCGGGGCTGCAGACAGGCACGGCAGCTCTCCACGTCACCGCTCAGGAGGACTTTGGTGTCAACCAGACCCTCGTCATCCTCGTCAAGGTAACACTCATCTGATAAACTGGGGCTGCCTTCGTCTTCTCCAGACAGTCTTCCATATTTTTCTTCTCTCTTCTCCTTTACCGCCACCCGTGAAGATCCGGGTTAGAGTTTGTCTTCAGCAACCCATGCCTGTCGTAAGAGGCGACTAACAGGATCGGGTTGTCAGGCTCGCTGACTTGGTTGATATGTGTCATTGTATCCCAACTGCGTAGATCGATGCTCATGTTGTTGATCACTGGATTGTTGGGTCCATACTAAATTATTTACAGATCTCTGCCATATAGCTGGAGTATTGCTGAGTGCTGCGTCGAACAACATACAAACCAAACCTTTCCTGCCCCTTTTTACTGTACAGAATTACTTCCCTTAGTTTTGCCAGGATCTGATCTCCTTGCTACAGAGGCATCTTTCTGTGTCTATCTGTCTTCAGGTGAAACCCGTCTCATTTGTGATGATAAATGCAGACACTCCACTCGTCACATCAACTGGTCACCTGACCAGCATACCAGTTGGCACCACGCTCAAGTTTTCTGTTAGTTACCATGACGACACAGGGATGCCATTCTTTGCCACCAGCGTTCAGCTGCAGATGAGATGCAGCAGGTAAGGAATGGAATATACCTTTACTAAATAAGTCAAGGTTTCTTGGATTTTCTTATTGAAATTGGTAAGGAAGAGCATATAACTTATTTGTCAACCAGAAGTTCTTCCTAAGAAAAGAGACTGCCTCCGTGGTGTAGTGGTTAGAGCGTCTTCCCGGAGAGCGGAAGGTCGCAGGTTCGATCCCTGGCCGCATCATACCAAAAGACGTTAAAATATGGTTCTTGTTCTCAGCCTGGGTACAACAAGGACTGGTCAGCTCAGAGTCAGTATTATGTGTCTGAGTGGCTTGTTCATGCTTTACTGTGGCATGGTAGCACTATGAAACAAGCTTAAGTCTGGGCTAGTACAAGCAGCCACACATACACACGCATGCACGTCGTCATATGAGTGAAATATTCTTAAGTATGATGTTAAACCCCATTTCACCTCACCTCCTAAGAAAAGACCTCAAATACCTCAACTTGGCATGGTGGTCTAACTTAATTTGTCCTGACTCACACTCTAATGTACACTCCCAACCATCCTTAGACGCTAAATGTTTACTATTTGGACATTACAACAATGAGAGAGATCGACGAGTCACTGGCTGGTCATGTGCGGAGCCGGTGCTAATGTGCAGGGAGGCGTGCATTTGGGAGAGACGATTTTATTGTTCTTGGCGAACACAACACAGAATGTCTCTGTATCTCGGGTCAAGGGAGAGAGAGGCAAATAGTCTGAGTTAGTATAAAATAATATTCTTACATCCTTGTTTTAGTGATGGTCATCTAGTTGTTTGTCATTATCAGTGGAAACACCACGACTCTTTCTGTACATTGAAGGTTCAGCCCTGATATAGGCAGTTTGTCATTTCCAGGTATGACCTACTGCAGATTTCTAAGGATACCGATAACAGCACATTGATTGTCCGCGCTGCAGAGGCCGGACAGACCATCCTGAAAGTGTGGGACTTGAACAACCCATGGATGGCCGACTACATCAACATTCCAGTAAACTATGTCATCACCCCCACCCCCGCCCAGGCCGTCGTCTCCCTCGGGGCCGTCATCTGCTTCAGTACACCGCTCGTGTCACAGAGAGGTGTGTTAACATTCAATATCTCTTAAACCCAACAAGAAACTATTTGTAATGGCTCTGACCATCTGTCAATCTGTCCGTTGATCCATCAATCCATCTGTCGATCCATTCATCCCATAGTTACTGTTGACAATATATCTCCACGACTTATGGATTGGGTACAGATATTGCTCAGATGTTTGCACTGATTTCCTTTCAGTTTAAATGTATGATTGATCCTTATGCTGAGCAGAACAACTGAATGTCATTAGGAAGTGTGAATATATCAGATGTCGTTGCTTGTTTAGGGGGTCTAATCTTAATGGGTTTGTTCCATTGTTTCAGGCTATTCCCGGAAGCTGGGCAGCGAAGGGTACATCTGTCGACATCGACCCTGACACTGGCCTCGCCACGGCAACCAGTGTCGGCAGATCCGTCGTCATCAACAACATTAGTGCCGACTTGACCACGTATACTGAAGTCATAGTTCTGCCAGTATCCAAGGCAACCGTTGGGGATGGTGTCGGCTTCCTGAGTAATGCTCCTGGTCGCCGGCCTGTGAATATTCCTGTCAGTCTGGGCTCGGAGGACAAGCCTTTGGGTAAGATGATAGTTCTGGCTAGTTACTATCTTACCTGATATTGTCCTCTCATGTGGCCCACGCTTTCTGTTTACAAAGCTGTATTAGCACTACGACAGTTGTAGCTCCTAGGATTTACATAGACTAAAGAGAGTCTTAGCGCTAAGATTGCTTTGTGAAAAGGGACCCAGCTCTTTAAGGCTGTCAACCTTGTACAGAGTTGTAAATGTCTGTAACCTGCAACACTTGGGGCTGTTCTCCCACATGCTATACAGTGCCCAGCTCACAAACTCATTCAAGATTAACCAGTACAAAATCTGATCAGTAATGAAATATGATTCCTTGGATTGCAAGTGTTCTTGTTCTTCTGATTCAGTATTTCTTGACAAAGTATTCGCTGAAACATTTCTTACTCGATGTATTTGTTCCACGGTTGCAATAAAGTTGCCTCCCTTTGATGTGTAAGGATATCTGTACATAGTTTTGCCATATGTCTCTCTCTCACTCACTCTCACACTTACATTCATAGTGCACATAGAAAAGAAACTTTCCGCCATATAGTTTGAATATTGCAGAGTGCGGCATAAAACTAAACTCACTAATAAAAAGAAACTTTAGTTCAGCTCCTGCTTTCTCGCTCACTCACTCACTCACTCACTCACTGTTCCAGGAGAGAACTGTCTCGCAGAGTTGAAGAGCCATGGCTATCAGCCACCATTCCTCCCCTTCCAATGTCGCCTGGAATTCACCAAAAAAGACATTGATGTTGATGTAAACGACCTCTTCAGGGTGGTGCCAGGATTTGACTCTGAAAAAGGTTTGAACATTTGCTGAACGCGTAGGTCCTCTTTGACAGATTTGATTGTACTGCTACGGCAACAGCCATTCCCATACTTTAACTTACTAGAGGTAGTCGTAGCATTGAGAATATGGAATGTGGTACTGGTTTTGAAGATAATAGTTGAACCATGATTTGACTCCTAAAAATGTTTGCAGATGTGTTGGACATCTGGCCCAGAAGATGTTGGCCTTGAACAGCATTGGCATTATCTTAGGGAATTACTGAATCTGACAAAATAATGTTTATTTCTTATATTCAATATCTGTAAGACAGCAAAAATTCTTGGCGTAAACAGACCTCTGGCATTGGTTGCCAGTTGGCAGTTACTTGTCCTTGATCCTCTTTGCCAGATATCACTATCAATGCCCAATATTGTTTTACAAAGTGAAAGGGGAGAGTTTTGATTTGAAAGTGCCACTTCATCTCTTTTCTATTTTCATTTGATTTTTCCTGACTGTTTCGACAAATGTTTGTTTAGTTCATATCTTTGACCTTCACCTTCAGGGCAACTTACCTGTCAGGTTACACCCATAATGTCGGAGTTTCACAACTATCAACTGTTGAGCACCATCAGCTCCAAGATAAGACTGGTTGTATTAGTAACACAGCAGGACAGCCAACCCGAGCTTCCTGCGTCATGTGACCTTGAGTTTGCTCCTGCCTTCTACATTCACAACGCTGAGATCCACCTGACGACCCTGGCTCCTCTCTCCTCCATCCGAATCTCGACACTGCCCCATCTCGTCCAGGACATGCAGGTTAGACACAACGTTTTCGTTGCTGGTCACATTGCATCAACTTCCTGGCAATTGTTACTTACAGAACCGCAGTTCAAGTAAAGCACCCTAACCCACCCAATTCCTAAACAACAAAATGAAAATTTCAAAATTATAACACAAAGTACGTTGACATGGCGTGAACTAAGTGAGCCAGACTTCAAGTCACCCCTTATGATTAGCATAGGCTGCTGGGGGTTCTGGAACACCATTCATGCTTAAAAACATGGTGACAATTTATTTTTATTTTATTTTTTTAATTATTTTTTTTTTCAGGCATCAGTGAGTGATGGGACATTGATTGAAGCCTTGTCACCTGACCAGGATAGCCAATCAGGCAGTGTGGTACTGTTTCCTGTCCGTCTCCTCGACTCTCTCAGTGTCTGGGAGAGGGAGACACTTGACTTGCACGTGGAATTGGTCAACAGACGTACAGGACAACGAGCTAAGATACCAGTCTACATCAAACTCATCGGAGACAGGCCAGATGTGTCACGTAAGTTTTATATGAGGGGAATATTTATCTTCATCACAATTGTAGGCCGCATGTCTCATGTGTGTCTTGTACGTTCTACTGTATGTGGGGCTGTGGGGAAGCCTAGTGGTTAAAGCGTCCGCTCGTGATGCCGAAGACTCGGTTTCGAATCCCCACATGGGTACAATGTGTGAAGCCCATTTCTGGTGTCCTCCGCCTTGATATTGCTGGAATATTGCCAAAAGCGGCATAAAACCATACTCACTCACTCATTCTACTGTATGTTCTTCCTGTATGTTTCCCTGTTTGTTCACCAGGCCTGAGGACTGTCTACACCACGGGACATCGGCTGGAGCACGCTTATCTTCAACTTCCTCATGACATACCAGTCCTGGTTCGCCCTGTTCCTGCTCATCCTGGCAACAGCCGTCGCTGTACTTGTAGGTGAGTATCGATAGCCAGGTTCTAGTACTTATTGGCTGAGTATTGATAGCACTGTGCCAGCTCATCCTGACAACAGCCGTCGCTGTTCTTGTAGGTGAGTATCGATAGCCAGGTTCTAGTACTTATTGGTGAGTATTGATAGCACTGTGCCAGCTCATCCTGACAACAGCCGTCGCTGTTCTTGTAGGTGAGTGTCGATAGCCAGGGTCCTGGTCATGTTGGTGAGTATTAACATCTTTGACTGTGGTCGTTGATGTAAGGACAAATACCCTTGTTCCTGACCTTGTAGGTGTATGGTGATGGCCTGGCTCCTGACCTTGTGGGTGTATGGTGATGGCCTGGCTCCTGACCTTGTAGGTGTATGGTGATGGCCTGGCTCCTGACCTTGTAGGTGTATGGTGATGGCCTGGCTCCTGACCTTGTAGGTGTAAGGTGATGGCCTGACTGGCCTGAACTTGTAGGTGTATGGTGATGGGATGGTGATGGCCTGGCTCCTGACCTTGTAGGTGGTGTAAGGTGATGGCCTGGCTCCTGACCTTGTAGGTGTATGGTGATGGCCTGGCTCCTGACCTTGTAGGTGTATGGTGATGGCCTGGCTCCTGACCTTGTAGGTGTATGGTGATGGCCTGGCTCCTGACCTTGTAGGTGTATGGTGATGGCCCTGGCTCCTGATCTTGTAGGTGTATGGTGATGGCCTGGCTCCTGACCTTGTAGGTGTAAGGTGATAGCCTGGCTCCTGACCTTGTAGGTGTAAGGTGATAGCCTGGCTCCTGACCTTGTAGGTGTAAGGTGATGGCCTGGCTCCTGACCTATGTAGGTGTAAGGTGATGGCCTGGCTCCTGACCTTGTAGGTGTATGGTGATGGCCTGGCTCCTGACCTTGTAGGTGTATGGTGATGGCCTGGCTCCTGACCTTGTAGGTGTATGGTGATGGCCTGTCTCCTGACCTTGTAGGTGTAAGGTGATGGCCTGACTCCTGACCTTGTAGGTGTAAGGTGATGGCCTGGCTCCTGACCTTGTAGGTGTATGGTGATGGCCTGGCTCCTGACCTTGTAGGTGTATGGTGATGGCCTGACTCCTGACCTTGTAGGTGTATGGTGATGGCCTGGCTCCTGACCTTGTAGGTGGGTAAGGTGATGGCCTGGCTCCTGACCTTGTAGGTGTATGGTGATGGCCTGACTCCTGACCTTGTAGGTGTAAGGTGATGGCCTGACTCCTGACCTTGTAGGTGTATGGTGATGGCCTGACTCCTGACCTTGTAGGTGTATGGTGATGGCCTGACTCCTGACCTTGTAGGTGTATGGTGATGGCCTGGCTCCTGACCTTGTAGGTGTATGGTGATGGCCTGGCTCCTGACCTTGTAGGTGTATGGTGATGGCCTGGCTCCTGACCTTGTAGGTGTATGGTGATGGCCTGGCTCCTGACCTTGTAGGTGTATGGTGATGGCCTGGCTCCTGACCTTGTAGGTGTATGGTGATGGCCTGGCTCCTGACCTTGTAGGTGTATGGTGATGGCCTGGCTCCTGACCTTGTGTAGGTGTATGGTGATGGGTGTATGGTGATGGCCTGGCTCCTGACCTTGTAGGGTGTATGGTGATGGCCTGGCTCCTGACCTTGTAGGTGTATGGTGATGGCCTGGCTCCTGAACTTGTAGGTGTATGGTGATGGCCTGGCTCCTGACCTTGTAGGTGTATGGTGATGGCCTGGCTCCTGACCTTGTAGGTGTATGGTGATGGCCTGGCTCCTGACCTTGTAGGTGTATGGTGATGGCCTGGCTCCTGACCTTGTTCATGATTATTGAAACCCATGTTCTTGAAGGGAAGTCCTGATAGCTTTGTTTTCGTTGGGAAGTATTGAAAGCCTTGTTGATAGCTTTCCTGCTCTTGAAATGAGTAATATGTGATATGGGTTAGTTATCAATTAGTGATCAGTAAGATTTGAATATGTTTTCTCATTACTTGTCATCCCACAGCAATTAAAGGTCACATAAACCCTAGGGGTACAAATACATAAATCACTAACTGGCATCGTTATAAATGAAACCCCGTCATTAAAACTACTCATTTCGACCTTTAATTGACTTAAATCGACCTTTTTGACAACAGTGCACAATTCTCACCCATGACGAAATTTCAACCAATCAGGCGGTAGCCTCTGTGGCGTCATATGAGGAATAGCTTTGAGGGCCGATGCAGAATTCATCTACATTTTTAGGGGTAAATTATCGTGTTTACAGGCTTGTATAAACCTGAAATCGTGACAATTGTTGTGGAAAATGAAAGCTATATGTTCTCACAATCTACTGTCATTTAATTTTGTCTCCTGCTTTGCCTAGTTTCGAGTTACAACTTGTTTTCATAGGCGATTCTGTCAAAATCGATTGGTGTCGTTAGGCCCTATTTGTATAATGACTGATCAAATTGATCCCATTTCTGTGTTGTTTTACCTCGATATTTAATCATGTCATGTAAAATCTGTTTGTATTCTCAAAACAGTGTCGGCCCATAAGTTTTCACATGCAATACAGCAATTAATACTCCCTCGTTGTAACCCGTGTTAGGTGGTATAAACCTACACATGTTATTTGTCATCATTCACTTGATGGTCAGTTAATGAATTTATAACAGGTATAATTAGTGGTAACACACTTAGATTACCGACAAAGGTTCCCATTTGGCATTTCTTGTGTCTGGAGTAAATATTCAACATTATAAACATCGATCAAAGGATTAACCCGATAACACGCTGATTGATTAATTACTTTTATCTTACACAGCGGAATTGTCAAAGGTAGTGTTTATGTATGTAGATTTACTAATCTATACTGAATACACTCTGTGTCGTGTCGGTGTCTGCGTAAAAACAACGTCCTTCTTTCAAAGGATTAACCCGGCAATACATTGATTGATTGCCCATTATTGGCTAACTAAATTACTGTTTTTAAAGAAAGGCGGACATTATGCAATTAGTTGCCAGGTGTGCTATCTTGGGTGACCAATGAGACTATACACCAATACCTGAAAAGATTTATCACTTTTAGTATATTAAACTGTTAAAAGACACATCATTTGGAACAGTTTTGTGGATATTGATGGATACATTCCTCGAACAAGGTAATGGCCTGATATTGTTCCTATAACTTTAATCTGTTTTAATTTTAATATTTGCATTTTGTTTTATTCATTTGTCGTAGCATTCAACAGAATCATTGTTTTAAGCGTGAAGTGTAATGAGACAGACAACATGCACTAGAATTGTGTATGCGAATTATGATTCACATTGGCAAACTATAAAATGTCTAGATATTACAGTTCTGTTATAAATTCACTATAAGTATCAGCAGATCGTCTGCTTTTATTTAGTTTCAAAATGCATACAAGTGTGATAATAAACTAATTAGGATTATAAGACCAAATATAAAAGACGCACATTGACTAGTATCTACATACTGGTGAGTGGACATTAACCATGGGAATGTAGCAAAGAAATTTATCGCGCAGTATTGTGACTTCGACCCCCACCTGGCTTCCGTGGAAGAAATCGTTATGTTATAAGTTGTGTCATGCAAAATCCGTTTGGTTATGATTCCAATACATATTTAACAGCGAGTAGAAAGTAGTCTTGATTTTCTAGCAGTGAAAACAAACTATAATCTCATTAATTCTAACAGATTTTTTATTTTTAAAAAAATGAAGCCCTGTCGGGAACATCCGCCAGTCTGAGGATAAATGGTATTTAGGTTTGTTTTCACCCGAGTCTAAAATCAAAACTACTTTCTACTGGTAATAAAATATATATTTTATTGATGGCCAATAGGATTTTGCATGACATAGCGCATATATCATAACAATTTCTCTCGTGGCAGCGAGGTGGGTGTCAATATAATACTACTTACAATATTATTGTTACCGACCACAACCTCACTTCGAGGAAGAAATCGTTATGTTACAAGTTGTGTCATAGAAAATCTTTATGGTCATCAATCATATGCATATTTTACTACAACTAGTAAGTAGTTTTGATTCTTTAACTTCCGTGAAGCGATCTGAACACAAGTAAGATATCGTTTCAGGCTTCCCAAGCGCTAAACCGCACTCACAAACATAACCCATTTAGCACGAACTGCGGGGTCCTGTGGAAATCTGTGCATGGGGACACCATCGCCCGACCCTAGGAGCAATTGGCGACAAAGCAGCGATTCGGCATGTCGTCGTTGATGTCGAAATCATCAAAATGATGGCGTGCTACACATTTTCTATACAACTAACTGAAAATCGTTCCTCATATGGCGTCACTGCAGTGCTCTGGCGACAGAGTTACGTAACCTGTCTGTGGTTTCGTTGGTGAGAGAGAGAAGCGAAGCGACTTTTGGCCACTTTTAATGCATTTCGGTATTAATTAACCACAAGTTTTTAAAGAATAAATTTGGTGTTCCGCATAAGACTAACCACAAATCTTTCATATGTAATGGTTAAAAGAGTAACAAAAACAAAGTTTAGTGGTTCTTTAAATGACCGTTGACACAGTGAGAGAGAATTGATAGATGCCAACCTCTGTAATATGAGACACAATTTGTCAGACTTCATGCTTACTTCTTTATCATTCATTCACCAGTAGAAGGGATAAGCACAATTTTTAAACTTATCCTATCTCACGACATGCAAGTCTCTCTCTTGCTTCGACTTTTAGTGGAACGACTGTAAACTTTTTCCATAGGCCTCCTTGTCCATTCGCCCATGCACTCCATGCTGCTCTCCTTAATTAGCTGCCTAGTTCCTAATAAAGCTTGCAGCATGCTCCACTAATTGCCCACGTGACTACCTTGAATGATCATTCTCTTTCTTGTCGCATGCGACTTTGTGGGCGTGCTGTATATTAGGGACATTATTTCACCCTAACATCATGGGAAAACTGATAATCAGTCAAGTAAAAGGAAAGTTTGTGCTCAATGCAAGGCAATTATTAGATCCCTCGACCCTCACTTTCGTATTGCAGTGACTGTATTG